TTTGGGTTTTTTTCCTCCTTTTTTTTTTTTTTTTTTTAATTTAAGTTCCTATTTTTGGTCGTTGAAACTGCACTTCAGTGAGCAGAAAAATTGCCAAGCAAACTAATGGCTGTAAAAGCATAAACTGCATGTGTGGGCATCAATTACTGAGCCTCATTTTGATGAGGTGTTGTACAAAGAGTTTTAATACATTTTGTAAATAAAACTGTAAAGAAAAAAAATGAAAGAGCCTGCTTATCTTTTCATCAGAAGAGAAAGAGTCCCTCCCTACTGCTGTCCCTTTGACCAATCTGGGATGCTCCACAGGTATTTACCACAGAACCCTCAAATGGTTTGGGTTGGAAGAAAACTTAAAGATCATCCAGTTCCAACCACCACACCCTAAACTCACTAGACCAGGTTGCTCAAAGCCCCATTCAGCCTGGCCTCAGGGGTGTCACCGGTGCTTCTCCCACCACACTGCTGGGAAATGCATATTTCTGGTTTGGTACCCTGCAAACCAACTAATTTATTGTTTTCTTGATGAGTGAAGCTGATTGATCCTGGCCAGGTCCAAGGGGCACCCTGTGGGGAGCAGGGAAGGGGCAGGGGAGAACCCTCAGGACTCCAGCCAGGGCAGGAGATGCTCTGCCCCTGGTGGGCAGCAGTGTGGGTAAAAACATTCCTCAAATGGTGACTATACAGATGTATTTTCCTGCAATTCCCACCTTTTCAGCAATGCTTTTTTAAGAAAAAACCTTCACCAACATTGCAACTAATCCCAACTCAATAACTGAGAGTTTACTTCATCCACAGCATGTTTTTTCCGAGTCACCACAAACTATGAACTGTAGGAAGTAATCCTGATATTAAACAGGATTAACAAATGGAAAAACATACATGGCAATCACTGATATCTTTTGCAGCTCAGCATCCAGCACCCAGCAGGTGGTCTCAACCATGGGGCTGCTTCAGCCTGGCCCCAATCCCTGTAGAACTGCTGCCAGCCACTGGTGCTTGTTTTATGTGAGCACATCAGTGGGACACAGGCTGAGCCCACCACCGTGTCTTCAGCCAAGGCTTCAGCAACAGCAAAATAAACTCAGGAATAAGCAAGGGCTAAGTGAGAAAAATAAACAGCAATTATTTGACCCTAAACATCCTACAAGGACAAAGGCTTCGGGTCGTGGGTGTGAGCAGGCTGTTGTGCTGGGCACACCGGGCTCTGTGCGGGGCCACCCTTCTCCTGGGAGCAGGGACACGGGCCTTTCTTGCCTTGGCCCTGGGATAGCCCGTGCTGAAATGAGCCTATTTATATGTAAAGTGCCCACACAATGAATGCAGGGAGGCATGGAAAAAAATATTGTTCTGTCCTTTAACCTTCATTTCATGCTCAACGTCCAGGCAAACGCGGACAGGCTGCGTTTTCTAGAGAGCGGTCTTGACCTGCTCCCTGCTGCCTGACAGCCAAACACAGCCCTGCACCAGCCACGGGGGTGAGCAATGCTCCCTTCCCTGGGGACCTGCCAAAATGGGCCACTGCAAGCAGGGCTTAATGTGCCCACTGAGCCCCAGCACTGAAATGGGAGGGCGTGAGAGGAACAGCAATGCCAGACTGATGCCAATCCTGGCCCTGCGTGAGCAGCTGGCGGGTGCTGCCCCACCAGGGTCTCACCAAGCGCCAGGTCCTGCAAAATGAGCGTTGAGGTTTTCTAATATATTTGAGTCAGGCAAAACAAAGCAATTAGGGTGAAGAGACACAGCTGCACGAGTGAGCTGAGAGATCCTGACCAGCTGGGACAGGGTGGGAGGTGGCTCCACATGGGACTGCAACCACAGGGATGAGGGGCAGGAACAGAACCTGGGCCAGGCTGCAGCTGTAGGGAATCCAGAGCATCCTTGGGCCACGAGGACAATGCACTTCAGGCCAAAACCTGGACTTCACTGCATAGGCTGCAGCAATGGCAGCAGGGCTGCACCACAGCCCTGGAACACTGGGCTCTAACACACCCCAACGTGACCTTGTCTGTAGGCTTTGGCAGGGGGGAATAATATAAGGAAAAATTCAGAGTAATGTATCCAGTTTCCAGAGTCATCAGTGGGAGCAAAAGGATGTCAACAGTGTTAAAGTTCAGGCCTAAAAACCCAAAGCAATAGCAGCTCCTCCCCACGGTACAGAGCACACCTGACAACAAAATAAAATCCATACTGTATCATTAAGGCATAGTTTTTCCTTCAAAGGTTTTGTGCAAAGGACTGCAACATTTATTTTTTTTAAAATAATTATTCTTTATGGCTATTTAAATAATAATACATCATGGATATCAAAATTAAATTACGAAATGTCTTTGGTTCTCATATTCATCATTTCAGTCTGGAAAATTGGCTCTGTTTTGCAGGCAGCAATATATAAACAAGATCTGGATAATGATAGCTCTATTCAATTAACCTGAAGGATTTAAGTACAGAGATAATATTTGCATGGATATTATAAATTTCAAAGTAATAATAGCTCAGAATGTAATACATCTAAAATTGGTATCAGGGAGGACAGTGCCCCCAGGAGCAGCAGTGCCTGCAGCCCAGCGCTGTGCTGAGCCACGCTCGGTGCCCCTGTGGCACTGGGGCTGCAGGAAGAGCCCAGGCTGGCATTTCACCATGGGCTAATTCCAACGGGGTCGGGCAGCCACTGGTGCATCGTGCCCAGCCCAGGAGCCTCAGGCCGAAGCCCCACCACCACGATGGGACACCTCTCTTGTGTGTGCCCTGTGGGGAGACAAATTTGGCTAAAATTCCCCCCTGCTCCCACAACATCCCAGTCCTGCTCTGACTCTGGGCTTCCTTGTCTGCGTTTCATCAGTCTGAGAAGGACTGATGAGACTGGTTTGTAATATGGCAGCAACACTACAACAGCATCAAGAAAAGTGCTTTCCGGCTTCCCCCAGGTGCAGGCATTGGCAGCACCTGCCCCACAAGGCAGGGAGCAGCCAGAAACCACACAGTATCCAGAGAGGAGTCGGAGCAAAGGAGCTGCCACACACACCTTACAGCAGTATAACAGTAAAACCTCTGTCCTTCCCTAATGGAGTTGATCAAGCTCACTGGAAGCACCTGCAGCACTGGTTTTGCTGGATGCCATGGCACTGGCAGACTTGTGCTGGGTGGTGGTGACTCTATGGGCTGACACAAAGGGCAGGATAATGAAACCTTTGTGCACACACTAAGTATTTATTTATTGCTGTTTCTAACATTGAAGTGTTAACCCTAAATTATTTATACCATCGTGGGATTTTAGGATGACAGGACATCTTACAGCAGAGCAAGGGGAGAAGATCCCACTCTACAGCAACTTGCAGTCAGATGAGCAGGAATGGGCAGCAGGAGCAGGGAAGGTGCCATGAGAAGTGGTGGAGCACAGGGCAGGGGCGAGCAGAGCCAAGGCAGAGCAGAGGCTTTCCAGAATCATTTCCCACTGGTGAAGAGGCTGTTGACACCTCCAAGCAAGCAGGCAGAGCTGACACTCAAGGTGAACTTGGAGCTAATTTGTAGCAGCAGATGAGGATTGAAAACAGGATGTGTGGTGGCACCTGGCCTGCCCCAGCAGACAGTTACAGGGATTCTCCTGTCATCCGTTTTGTTGTGTTTTCAGGTCTTTCTTACTTTATTCTACTTTCAGGAATGGAGGAGCTGAAGACAGCAGAAAAAAAAACCAAGCTAAAACCAAAGGGAGACAGCTTGAGGAAGGGCTGGACCTGCCATCTAAGAGTGGGGACCTGCATAGAGCCAGGGAATGGGGCTGAGCTGGTGACTGGTCCACAAAGGGTTAACCGGGGTCCAGGCAAGAACCCAAGCCTTGATGGCAAGGAGAGGGTAAGGCACTTAAAGCCTATAAAAAAAGGCACAACATAAACTGCAGCCTTGATGCTGGTAATGACTGGTGCTTTAGATAATGTTTAGCATATAAATAAAGTAATTGACCAATTAATGAGCACATGGCAGATGCTTGATACACTGTAACAAGTAGGGAAGGGTGTGATATAACACCAGAAATTGATTAAAGGAATATAAAAGCAGAGCAGTGTGGGAGAGCAGTGCCTGGGCCCTGGGCCAGCTGCTGGGGGCAGGTTTGGGGGCAGGGCCACAAGAGCAGGGAGAGGGGACAAGGGTTTGGTCCCTGCTGCAGGGGCAGAGTGGGGCATGGTGGACAGTGAGGGAAAGGAGATAACTGTGGGATAACTTATGTGCACTTGCAGCCCGGAAAGCAAACCATATCCTGGGTGGAATCACAAAGAATTGTGGACAGCAGGTCAAGGGAAGTGATTCTACTCCCTCTACTCTGCACTTCTGAGATCCCACCTGGAGCACTGTGTCCAGCTCTGGGGCCACAACATAAGAACATGGACCTGCTGAAGTCCATGCTGAAGTCTGAGTCCAGAACAGACCATGAGGCTGGAGCCCCTCTCCTATGGCGGCAGGCCCAGAACTGGGGCTTTCCAGTCTGGAGAAAAGGCGGCTCTGGAAAGACAGAACACCTTCCAGTACCTGAAGGGGCTACAAGAGAGATGGAGAGAGATTTTTTCCAAGCCATGGAGGGATAGGACAAGCAGGAACGGCTTTAAACTGAAAGAGGACAGGTTTAAATTAGATCTTGCTAAGAAATTCTTCCCAGTGAGGGTGGTGAGGCACTGGCACAGTTGTCAGAGAAGCAGTGGATGCCCCATCCCTGGAAGTGTTCAAGGCCAGGTCGGATGGAACTCTGAACAACCTGGTCTAATGGAAGGTGTCCCTGTCCATGACAGTGCGTTGGGACGAGATGATCTTTAGGGTCCCTTCCAATCCCAGCCGTTCTATGATTCTATAACGTCAGGGTGGATTAGGGAACAGGGAGGGGGATCTGCTGCCGTGCTCGGCGCAATACTGACATGCAGCGGCCGGGATGGGGGGAAACGCCACCTCCTGCGACCGGCACGATCAGAGCCCTGGGCGGCCCCGGCCCGCGGTGAGCACCGGGCACCGCCGCGCTCCGGGGACGGCTGCGCGCAGCGAGCCTCGGGTTTATCCCTCCCCTGTCCTCGGTGAAGCAGATTTTTAATATCATTCCAAGCCTTTCGACAAATATTGGATTTGAATTCCAAATATGGGCTGAGCAGGCTAATTACCCAAAAAATCCTGCAAAATTAATGTAAGAGCCACGGTTTGATCTGAGGCAAATAAATATAAATGGTGTTTATTTAATATTCCCCTGCCCTTTAAACAAGGGAAGTTTGCCAGAGTTGAGGCGAAATGCATTATTATGGAATAGCTGAAGCTGTGACCTATCACAGATGCTGCAGATTACACAGAGCAATTAGAACATCACAGTAGACAGGGCTTAATTAATGGGTGCAGGTTTTCCCCCAGGACCATGGGCCAGGACCACCACCGACCCAGCCTTTTTTGTTCTTCCCCACAACCCTCTCAAATGTAGTCATAAAATCACTTAGGTTGGAAAAAATTTAAGATCATTAAGTCCAACTCTTAACCCAGCACTGCCATGATCACCACTAAACCATGTGCCCAAGTGCCACATCCACACACCTTTCAAACACTTGCAGGGGTGGTGACTTCACCACTTCCCTGGGCAGCCTATTCCAATGCCTGATCAACCTTACAGTGAAGAAGCGTTCCCTAATATCAAATCTAAACCTCCACTGGAGCATTGAGATAATTTCCTCTTGTCCTGTTACCTGGGAGAAGAGACCTGGCTACAATCTCCTTTCAGGTAATTGTGAAGAGTGATAAGGTCCTCCCCAAGACTCCTTTTCTTCAGCTAAATATCCCCAGTTCCCTCAGACACTCCTCATCAGACCTGTGCTCCAGACCTTCCTCCAGCTCTGTTGCCCTTCTCTGGACCTGTTCCAGCCTCTCGATGTCTTCCTTGTTGTGAGGGGCCCAAAACTGAACAGAGGATTCGAGGCATGGTCTCAGCAGCGCCCAGCACAGGGGGACGGTCACTGCCCTGGTCCTGCTGGCCATACTATTGCAGATCCAAGCCAGGATGCCATTCTTCTTGGCCCTCTGAACACAAAGTTGATTAGTGTGCCAGTGGCATGAACAGTCAAACAACCTGGTCAGCTCCCCTTCTTTCCATGCTTCCCCCAGCCCTCTGGGACTCACTGACCCCCCACTTTTTCCACTCAAGGTCTCTGGCATGCCCCCTGCCTTGAGCTGTGCTCTAATTACAAATCCCATCACCAAACCCTCACTGACATTTCCACACATGCAGCCAAGTCCCTGCAGAGACCCATGTAGGATAGAAGGATCAGAACGACTGGTTTTTGGTTTTTTTTAAATCTCCTTGAGATAGAAAACCCTCCTGTACGCACGAACTTGGTGAGAGACTGCTCCTGTAGTGCCTCTCAGGAAAACAGGACATAGCAGCACACCCAAGTTATCCCAGCCACAGCATGTTCTTTCACAAAGTTCAGTTATTTCCCTCTACTGTGGCAGTTTACTGTGGGTGTGTCTGCACTTGCCAAACCAGTGGCAGAGTCAGCATAAGCATCCCCATCCCAAAACTCTTCTCCTCTCCCCCCACTGCTCCTCCCACATCAGGGGTGAAGCAGGTGAGGGATGAACCCTTCTGCCAGGGCAGGTACACAGTTCCTCAAAGCCAGATTTTAAATGATTGTTTCAACTCACCTTTCAGTGTGTGGGATGCCAGACAATCTCCTGGTTTTTGGGAGGTCACACTGTATTCAGTGGCCAGGGTGACCTCTGCCCAGGTTCACCCACCTCACTGTGACAGCCCTGAGCCCAGGGCAGGCTGGTGGCTGCAGCCCCAGCCAAAGCCCCACCTCTCGCACTCCAGGAAATCCCAAAGACTAGAGTGACTTTGATAGAATTATTTCATTTTAGAATGCCCTAATAAGTTAATTAAAAGTCTGAGCATTTAGCTTGGCTACTCTCCTTTTCAGGAATTCTTTCTCACCTCTAATGAGCTGGATAACTCTTACTCAATTCTCTTCCCAATTTGTCTGTGTCTTCCTTGCACTGCAGGGCAAGGGTTTATAATCTTCTACAATTCACTCAGAAATAACCTCTAATTAATCACAAGAGTGTTACTGATCAAGTCTATAAGCACTAAAATTTTTTAACATTCAGTATTTCAAATACAGCCACCAAGACAACATCCCTCTGTCCCAAATCCGATTACTGAAAGCACAGAGCACCAGGAATGCTCAACTTCTGATTAAAGTTCCCTTTCTCTGGATAATCCACCAAAACACCAACAAGACAAACCCTCAGAATATTTAAGAGACAAGTAAGTCTCTGTGTTTAAAAGTATTAATACTTGATCCAAGAGGAGATTTTAATGAACTCTGGATGAGGGATAAATGCCTCAAAGGAAAGGTGTAAACTTGACTGAATGCAGGAAGGCAAACCCTGACACGTGTGTCACTTCACAGTAGGCACCACACTCTGTAACCAGCCCTTCTATTAAAGGACAGGTGCAGAGGGCTCCTCAGCAAATTCAGGAACCACCCTCCCACAATTCCAACTAATATCCAATTTTTATAATAATCCCTAAAGCAATGAAGTGACCACACAGAGAATGATTTACGACCCATTGAGAAAACTATTGTTTATTTAGAAAAAAGGTTACACTAGTAGAATTCAGCAGATAAAAAAATTCTTTTTTTTTTTTTTAAAAACGTCATTGTGAAATCTTCAGACTAAAGTTCAGCAATACAAAGCTCCTGTAGCTGTAACTGAAACTTAATTTATTTCAGTTTTGAAGAGAGCATTTCCAATCAATCTAAAAACAACATGACAAACAAAAGGTGTGACAAGGAACAACTGAGCACAGGTTTAGGTTGGGATGGGACAGGGCTCATTCTTTGTTTCTTTAAACAAGTCAACGTTATACACAATATACAAATAATCTCTAAGCATTGCATGAAAACAGTGCTCCCACTTAACTTTTGTTTTTTAGTTACTGATATTAAAAACAGGCCAAGTAATAAATAAAAACTGAGTTTAAATGAGGTAAATCCAAAAAGGTTCAATAACTGTTTATTTGTGGTTTTCAAACATCTAAAAGAATGCAATTTCAAATTGAAAGAATTACTAAATTCAGGCAGTATTTTCGACAAACTAAGTGGAACTATGTACACATGAAACCTCATTTGCACTATGGCAACTGTTTGTTTGCAGCACATTGTGCTAAAATATGGAATAGGTAACACTTTCAGCCAGGTACTGAAAATAAATGTGTAAGAAACTAAGCAACAAGTTAAAAATACAGTAATGTACAACTTAACAATTAAGTCCTTAGCACGGGGAAATAAAGCAGAGAACTGAATAATTTAAGGAGATGCAGATGGGTCCTCTTCATTCACAATTTTCTGTGCAATCTATACTCTGGAAAATACATTTCTGGTCACAGCTGGATATCTTCCCATTTCAATGTCACCTGCAACAAAGGCATACATAATTGGAATTAGATTTTGTTCAAATGAACACTGATCTCACAACTTCACAATTTGCTCCATTCACAACTCAAAGAATGATGGGGGAAATAAAACTATTTTCATCATTCTCTAACTCTAGTTTATTCCCCAGCAAGAACTATATTAACTTAAGCACTGCATTTTAAGTAGTGTAACACTAATTTAAAGACACAAATAGGAAACAAGTAGTCACTTGTGAAGGTATAAACTCTTTTAGGAGTATGATCCCCTCACAATGTTACTATCTCTAAATTAAGCAGGAAATAAATGCAGTCAATCAGATATTGTACATTAGGAAGAATGTTAAAGATCTAACAAACAGGAGCACAGGACCAGATTCCACAACTGTGTTGCTACACAAAGCACTTTTTCGTACTTCTCTGTGCACACAATGTGGTGCTGTCAGTATTCCAGGCCAGATGCTCCAGTTTACACAGCTGGATGGGAATTCCACTGTGCAGCTGACATTTACCTGAGCACTTGTTACTTACAGTCATCAAAACACAATTGTGCTTTTTCAGCTGATGAAAATCCTCACTTTACACTGAATTGCTAGTCAAAACTTCACATTTTATTATTAAAGAAGCTGCAAGTGCTCTGTAGTGAACTTCATCTACCAAGACTGCCTTTTTTCTTTTTTTCCAAAGTAACATTTAAAGAAATGAGGAAAAAACTGAGCTCCATCCACAGTGATCAGATGATACTGGCTATGAAGGACAAAGAGCCAAAAAAATTCCATTAAATTCTTTCCAGAAAGCTCATAGTTTTCAGTATGGAAACTATTCACAGAAGTGTCTTCATCATTTTAAGAAGATAAAATATTAGTACTAAGAAGCAATAACCTGAACTCCCATCCTTTCTACTACTAACACTTTTCAAAGAGCACATGGTATCAGCACGTGCCTTGCTACCCAAAACCCCTCATGTGCCCTCACCTTCAGTGGGTGAAGGAGCCACGACACCAAATGGAACAGGAGACCCTTTTTGCAATAAGCCCCCCCTTCCTCTTTGAGGCCACAATCCATGAGTGGAGACTTTTTCCAGAAGACATTTCCAGACGATTGAAAGATGTCAGAATTCAAATGTTGTTTCTAATTTGTTTTGTTGGACCCTCATCAAAACACCCTATGTTTATGTAAGCAAACCTGCAATCCTTAGGCCTCTTGGACAAGGATTTCCAACAGCAAAGCACTTACACCTTTCAGATTTGGTCTCTGTTAGACAGAGGCAAACAGAAGAACTGGGGACTATGTCACAATCTTTCCCTGACAACCACTACAAGGAGCAATGTTCATTTCAGAGTCCACAGCCAATAAATCTCACCACTAAATTTTGCCTTAAGTATTCTTAAACTTGATATCCATATAATTGAATTTCAAAACCAATGAGGTTGGAAGGGATCTCTGAACACTGTCCAGATGCTCAAAATGCAGAATGAACTAGAGCAGTTGCTCAGGACTGTGGCCTGCCAAGTTGGGTTTGGAGTACCCCAAGGATGGCAGCTCCTCTCACCTCTCTGGGCAAACTGAGTTTCTGACCACACTCACAATATCCCCACCTTTCAATGGGACTCACAGCAAATCCTGTTTGTAAGTGGTAGCATCACTTTCCAGACCAGCCAAGACAGTCATGAAAAGAATAATTTTCAGCCATCTCAACTCTCCTTCAAAATCTGGGACAAAGAACGTGTGTATTCAAAAATGTTAACTTCCCTCTCTAACAGTATTGGTTTGCCTGACATAAAGGAAAACTGCCTGTCTTATATATTTCTCAATATCACTCTACGAAAGCAAATAACCTCAAACCATGAAAAACGTGTGGCTGAATAAAAAATTGTTTCTACTTCATTTCTTGACTGCTCATAAAGTCTACAAAGTTTTAATAGAAACAATTCATCAATTCTAAATAGAGAACAAACACAAGAATTATAAAGCACTTGGGCAATTTGTGAAAATCACGAGGAAAAAGTCATTCTTTGATATTTGTTGAATACTATCAGTCATTTTCATGCTTACCCAACACAATCACACTTTTTAAAATGTAAAACTGACCACTGCTTTATGTAGAAAGATTAATAGCAGTCTGTGACTGAAGTTGCACAGGTCAAGTGAACTAATTTTAAGTTTCCTGGGACATTGTCCTTCCCAAATAACTGAAAACAAAATATTTTGAAACTCAATGCAAAGAGGAGAAAAAAATCCCACCCTCACACCTGTAAAACAAAATATAAGGGTCCACATATATGCAGAGGTCTGAAAAAACCAAACCCTAAAACATTCAGGGTACCATCAACTTCAAAGAACAACTGACTTTTCCAAAAGATCCAGTCTGAATACATGTTAACCAAAATACCCTGAAGTTTTCTTTTCTTTCTTTAAATAGTCAATGCTTCTATGCCAAAGTTTTCCTTTATCTTCTTCCTCCTCAAATCTGATCAGATAAAAGATTAAGCAGAGATACTGAACTGACTTACTACACTATGTAGCAATTTGGTTTAAAAGCTGGTGCTTTTGTTAAGTAAGAAGAGGATACAAAACTTGACTTTACAACATATTAGGCAAGACACTCCTAATTAACAGGTAGATTATGAAGACTGATGACTCTCAAGATCACGTGGATTCACCTTTTTTTTGGTATGGCAACTTTTCTTGGAAAAAGCAAAGATGCAACTCCACCACATACTGCTGACTTGACACAGCACATCCCCCTGCCTTTTTTTTTTTTCCCCCCCAAAAAAGAATTGAGCATCTATATAATCTCTGTGCTGATGATGGGGAAGTTTTGTCCCCTAGAGTAGAAATTTAAAAAAAAAAACAAAAAATTACCGCCCACAAAAACCAACCCAAAACCACACACACCCAAAAAAACCACTGCAAAACCAAAAAACAATCAGCCCAAAAAAATCCCCACAAAACAACCAAAACCCCACCCAGCCTCCTTGGTGATTTCAGACTGTTTTGTCTGTATATCCTTTACCAGTCAACAGGACCCAAGGGAGATACCAAACCAAACAAAGTAAATAATAAAACCTTTTACCTTGACTGAAAGAATCTTCATTATCTATGCTTGTCTGAAGACTTATGAGTAGATTCAGTGTTAAGGAAAAAAATATATGTATTTTGCTACATATAATAAAAGGAAGATAATTTTCAGTAATTTTCTGAAATACTACTGTCTAAAAGGATATTGTTTCTTTTCTTCTTTCCCTCCAGCACTGTCCCGTTTATCTTTCTTCTCTGTTTTTTCTTTATCATGTCTTGATTCCTTTAAAAATACACATATGGGAAACAGCTTATTATGGTACACATTGTACAATCTGATTAGAACTGTAAATCTGATTAGAACTGTAACATTTAACATTACAACTGGACACAGCTAAAAAAAAAAGAAAAAAATCAGTCAAAATGACAGTACTCAGCTTCTGTGACTTTATTTTAACTTCCTCTTCCAGTTCTCTGACGACCACTGGCACCAGAGCTAAAACTGGCAACTACTGTCTGGTGGTTTACAAACACAACTAGACCTGTTTTCACCAAAAAAAAAAGCTGTGCTGACACATGCACGTGAAAATCTGAATTACAGACTGGGTATACGTAAGTTAAGCCTGCTTTTATCTATTTGCTCTCTACAGCAGTCTGCAAATATTCTGGATTATTCAAAACCTGAAGGCTAAGTTCTGAATTTTCCTGGTTACTGCCAAAATTAACTAGTCCTCCACTTATCCTGCAAGGAGTGACTGGTGAAATATTTAAAGACACAAGATATCAGAAGTTTCAGAAGCATTTTCCTATACATTCACAGTGTATCTTTTTAATTTAAGCCATAAAGCAGCAACAAAATTTAGGGAGAAAAAAAAACCCCAGCTTGTTCTGTCAACAACAACAAAAACATCAACAAAATTAAAACATCTTATTTTACCTTTTTGCTACCAGAGGAACTCTTCTCCATCTTTTCTGCCTTGATTGAATCACTTTTCTCTTTTCCTGAAGATTTTGATTTGTTTTTCTCCTTCTCTTTTTCATTTAAGCGAGGGGAATCAGAAGGACTTTCACTTTTGCTGTGTTTTGAAGAACCAGCTAAAAACAGGACAGAAAGTTGTAACCCACAGCAAGTAAAAGCCTAATAAACACACACACAACAAGTTAAATACCTACTTGTGCCATTTTCCTCTTTGCGTCGTTTAGTTGAATCCTGCGGTACCTCTCGGTCACTGTTTGAATGATCCTGGCACCAAATACAATTATGCAGATGTTAGACTAAAACATACTCCTGAAGTAGCACCTGCTTATAGTGTCATTTTGTTGAATATGTAAAACGTAACTGAGTTGTTACATCTTGTGTAAAGTGTCTTGAGGTCGGTTTTGAGGGGGAGAAGTTTTGAATGCGTTACTGTAAACCGACCTTTGAAAGAGTAACAGAGCAAAAAACCCAGCTCTGATATGAGTCACTTCTGCTCAGATGGGCTGTACAGCCAATTATTACTGCAAGGACTTGGAACAGAAGGCTTCCCAAGCATATACCAGCTGTCTAAACTAGTTCATTAAAAATATCACCAACCCTTTTTCGATCTTTCCTGTCCTTCTCATCTTTCTTCTCTCTCTCTCTGGATCTCTCCCTTGACTTGTCCATATCTTTCTTCTCCACTTCTCTCTCCTTACTCTTGGACAGTGTTGGAGTGGTGTGGTTTATGTAGTGCTGTTAAATTAAGGCAACATCACCAAATATTAATATGTACTGTTAGATGTGTAAATAAAAAGTCTAACATATTAGATCTAGCTCAAAGACCAAAATTAAACATAAATATTTTAGCAGCAAAACAAAAAGTGATTGAAGACACATTCAAACTTGTCATCTATAATTTAACCTACAGCTTATTGACTCAACACTGGAAATTCAAGAATATTTTCTCTTAACTGAAACACTTATATTTAAATACACCCAATGCTGTTCACCAGCACTGTTGGATGCACGAACACAAATCAGACAGCAGGGCAACAGAAACAGGATATGCACATTACTGGAGTTAACACTTGCAATCTTGCCTGAAATGAATGAATGGAATCAGCTGCTTAAACAAGCTATTATTGATTTTTAAGGAATAATCTTTATCAACCAAGTATTTAAACCAATACTTTGAATAATGTGTCTTTTCGTCTAACTCCAAAACTTCAAATGATAAAACCAGCTGAACACAGATAAGAATTGTTTTTTCTCTAATGTGTTTTAGATTTATTCCACAATCTCTTCTAACCAATTCTGATAAGCTCTGTAAAACATACTAGTTTCACAAAGTTGAGTATTTTGAATATAAACTGGGGTCGTAGGGAGGAGAATAGAAAAATAAGTCGCAGTAATGTCAAATGTAACACTTGATGAAGTTTAAATGTCACTGTATATATATACATATATGTATGTATACTTACATATATATACATAGAAGGTAGCACATGTTATATAAATACATATATTACAGTCACTAAATCTGTCTTTTTAAATACAGTTTTAAGTTAGATCTTATTAAGAAATATTAAGAGCACATTTTAAGTAAGTCTATCAAATACCAAGGGAAGCTGGTTTTAAGTTATAGCAGCACAGAGATTTAAATCAGTATAACTTTAATCTTTCTCCAGTTCCATAAGCTAACGATTTTATTTTGGAAAAAAAATATCTTCTTATTAAAATGCTCTCTGTATTTATTTTTTGAGAGACACTTTACCTAAAAGGACACCAACGAAATAGGTAAGTGAAAGATTACTTCAGAACAATCTAGAAATCACTTGAACCAAACCAGTTAGAGCTTCAAGTAACTTTATTCTTTTAATTTAATTAATCCTGTCCTTCTCTAGTTTCAGTAAATATTTAACTTACCAAAACCTGATGTTACTGGTCTTATGTTAAAAGTCACACTGACAATGTTAGGTCTGTTTTCCTTTATTGCTTAACTGGAATTTTATTTTCCTCTTACAACAGAGATTGAACCTTCAATACTTCTTTCACTGGATGTCTTTCTTTTTGTTCTTTTCCCTCACTCCTCCTCTTTTCTTATTCCTTATTCCAAGTAAATTTATCCTTGCTCCCTTCTTTGCTGACAGTGACATGCAAACACATTTTCTCTAAGCAGCTCCATTCAGTTGTCTCCCAGAGATGACTTCCACATGAGAAAACAAACACGTAGCTCTGCTTTCTCCTATTCCACTTCTTATGTTCTCATGGCTGTTCATGATAGGTTCCACTGCTCTTCTAACCATTCCAATGCAGAGTTTTGGAAAACTACATCCATCTTCCCCAGCTTTACAAGAACAGCTTTATCAACTTGCTTCTAGATGTGCTGCCAACTGAAACCACATCAAATTTTGGGCACTGCTGTACATTGTGTAAATTGGGCAAATGACAAAGAAGAATAAACACAAACCTAACTCAAGTCTGGCACCATTTATTTCATAACCTGCAATGTAAACCAACATTTCCATGGTCTGCCTCTGGAAAATGAGCCAAGCAAGGAAAAAAACCAAGCCTATAAGCAGACAACAGCACTAGACTTCTAAACTTCCAGTGGATGCTGAACTCATATCTTACAGGCTTCTGAATATCCCATCCCTTCCCCAAACAAGTACATGGCAGTAAAGAGGAGAGTTTTGTCTTACACCATGTTCAGGGAACACTGTCATGAAGTGCTTTAAATCTGCTAGAATGGCACTGAAGAATGAAGATTAGTTCAATTAAGTAGAAGGATTAGAATAGAGCATTTAGGAGAGGAAGGAAAGGTTTGGACATCCCCACTCCCCAAGCACTAAAAGAATAAATCCACTAAAAAGTCACACACTTCCAGCTGCAATACACTTCCAGCTAAGTCTACACAGAATTATTTCTAAAATGTAACTTTTCAAATTAAGAAAAATAAAGCTGTTTGTTAATCATTTAATTACAAATAGCTCCACTGTCTGCTTGATTACATCAATGTGCTAACAAGCAGAATACATATTTTTAATTAAAAATTTGGCTTAACTAATGAAAATGTGAGCAAAATTTCAATTAGCCAGTGGAATAAATAAGGGAGGGAAGAGTGAGATTATATAGACTCCCATATATCACACTACAGATAGAGTTGAGCTCAACACAAATATTGTAATCTTTTAATTAAAAAAATTAAATATACAAGATACCATGATGATGATTTATAAAAGTATCTGGATTCAATCTATAGACAGTAATTTCATCAACTGTAAGATTAAAAGGACACTTCCTATATACACTCGCTCTATAAGCAGGTATAGTCGGCATTGAAAGGATTCAATTAAAAATCCATCAGCAAGTGCCCATTACAGACTCACAGCTATTTTGAATGAAAACATACAAAGTGTTCTCAACACTGTTTACACAAAAAGAGCTACAATTAAAACAACAGTGTAAACACAGAATAGGAAGTGGTAACCCATTAAGCATTTTTAAATTAAGTGAATATAAGTAATCCTAGATATACCCATAAATTATCCAGGAAGTCCAAATGGTTGGCATTTTCCAAGTGATACATATTTGCACTGTTTAGTTACACACTGGTACTGACTGTGCAATCAAAGATCTTTATAGCAACTTTAGAAGACCAGATCCATTTCCCATCAGTCACATACCCTGAATGTATTGGCACATTTGCAGTTGTGACTGTTACTGTGCAACAGTTATTATGTGCTTGAGTTCTAAAAAAGCAACAGAACGGTCTCAGAATCTGTCTAAAATACAATATTCCAAGGGCTTGTCAGGCCACACCTGGAATACTGTGTTCAGTTTTGGTCTTTGCTGTACAAAAAAAGATGTGGACAGGTTGGAGATGGTCCAGAGAAGGGCCACAAAGATGACCCAAGGCCCAGGAAACATATAAGGAAAGGCAGAGAGAATGGGTTTGCTTAGGAGAGAAGAGAAAGCTTGGGGGTAATCTTATTACCATGTCCCAGTATTTAAAGAGTGGCTACAGACAGGATGGAGACACGGAAGACAAGGGGTAACGGGTACAAATTACTCCCAGGGAGATTCCAATTGGACACAAGAGGAAAATGTTTCATGGGAAAAACAATCAGCCATTGGAATAACCTCTTCAGGGAAGTGATGGATTCCCCAACACTGGACACTAAGATCAGGCTGGACAGGGTGCTGGGCCATCTTGCCTATACCATGTTTTTGCCAAGAAAGGCTGGACCAGCTGATTCCTGAGGTCCCTGCCAGCCTGGGATTCTGATTCTACGAACTCCTGAGAGCATTCTTTAGTATTCCTTCTCCTAGTGAAGACAGATATCTCCTAGATAGTGAAACTGAAGAGCATTTACAGGAAGCAAGTGCACAAAGGTGATAATTTAGGAGGTTGTCTGTGATGCTTAGAAACAGTACTAAAGCACAAAAACATGAATACAACTGTATGGAGAAAGAGGAACGATATTCCAGAGATATGCCTCAAATATTCCTTGTTTTAAGCTGTTGGTTTTTAAGCTGTATATTCAAACTCCCCAAACTACTATAATAACTATTTTAGCTATTCATTAGCTTTTCAACCAAATGAATGACTTAACCATAAGGATACTTCT